CCCCAAAACCCCAAAACCCCAAAACCCCAAAACCCCAAAACCCCAATTCACAAAGGAAAATTTGAAAATTTAAATATTTAAATGTCACTGCATTGGAAACCAGTAGAAGTAAATTTATCAAAAAGGTATCAGACATGTAAGCAGCAGATTAGCAAGTCTGATATTTTTGTATAGGACATTCAGACAGTAGCGAAGATGATGAGGATGAAGCCCAACCTTATGCATCAAAGTGCAGGTAAGGTACTATCTTGATTGATAGGAATGGCTCTAGATTCACGAGGATTGACATAATTAAGTCAGATATCAGGAATAGGACAAAGGATATGAAGAAGAGGAGAGAAGCTAGATCAAAAGAAAGATCTTATGAAAGATCAAAATCAAAGAAGAGATATGATCGTAACCTTTTTGATAAATTTTGATAGCATATTATAAGAGCTGAGAGAAAGAGAATTACAGTCAAAATATTCAGAAATGAACTAAAACTAGAAATATGGATAATGTTAAGCCAGATAAATACCAAACAGAAGTGAGAAAATCAAAAACGAGAAAGAAGGCACAAATAGCTCAAACTATTTCCCCTCGGTTCCAAAGCATACCTCAACAAAATACTCTAGACACAAACCCCGACAACCTAATCCCTTTCCTTACTAGCCTCGACTCAGTAACCTTCTTTGCCTCATCTTAGCCCTCTGAAACCCCATCCCACACTCACATTGAGGACCACAAAGTAACTAAAATCCTGGAATCCCTCAAACGCCTCATCTCCCCAAAAACAGGGTCTTCCCCGCTGTTGGGGAGACTCTGGCGTGGCTACTCCAGTACTTTCACTACTCTCCAGTCCGCTTACTCTGATGCGAAAGTTTCCCTTGTAACTTCTCTGTAACCCTCCTTTTCATCTCTAGCATCAAGAATTTCAAACAAGTTGCCCAGTCCCGCTCAGAGCAGGCCAACAACGTTCCTGAAATCCTTCGTGAAATTCTCAAAATCCAATCGGATTTTGAGAATTTTGTAAGGAATCAGAATATGATCAGTGAGATTAAGAAGGAATTCGGCCAACAGAAGAAGGAAGAAAGAGCGCTAGGCGTGGGATGGTGGGGTGGAGAGGGAGTAAGGGGAAATAAGTTAGATGACGTCTGTGACTGATCTGATGGGGATGATGAACTTGAGGAGTCCATCAAGCCATCTCTTACTTCAGAGTCAAGTCTTAAATATGATTATCAGATACAGCAAACTGAAGCTGAAAGTGAGTCTTTGGAATTCAATTTTAGATCTATGGAAAACTCATCTTGATGATGACCTTGGTGTACAAAAAGCCCCTCTAAAGCCGAAGATTCATCACAAAAATACATCGAATCCTAAAATTCCAGAATCTAAGCATCACAAGAGCATCAAGGTAGATGACTGTACTCACTCAATCAACTTCTCAACGTTGAAACCTGAAGGTGGCAGAAACTCTCAGGCTTTTGGGTTCCGTAAAAATGATTATTTCAGCCAAATCTCACACAGGATGTAATTCTTTTAGTAATTTCTAGTGGAGACCTCCAATTGCCAAATAGAAGGAAGTTTAATCACAGAAGAAGCTCAAGCCTGAAGGATAAGGAATCTAAAGAGGTTAGATTTTCTATCGATGGCTGTAGCCATCGCATGACTATCGATAAATCCTTCAATGCGCACAAATCATCAGATTTCAGTGTCACCAAGAGATACCTCTCCAGTGTAGATCGGGACAACAAGAAGAAGTGCTTTGACCTTGCAAAGCTCCACAGAGAAACTTTAGTATGAACCCTCTAATATTTTTAGGAAAAAGCCAGAACCGAGCAAGAAAAAACCGGTAGGAAGAGGATCAAGCTCTATAAGCTGAAAATCTCAAGGAAGTTCAGAAAGTCTTCCACACCAAAGAAAGTCACGAGTCCTGAACCAGGGGTATAAGTTTCAACGAAGGCTTAGTTTTGGGGTTTTGGGGTTTTGGGGTTTTGGGG